ATGGATATAATATGGTCGGGCGGAATGAAGAACGGAACGCGTGTTTACGTTGAAATTCATATTATGAGATGACGATATTTTGCTCCGAGCAAAGGCAAAAACTCAAAAAATACGAAATCAATTGTATGGATCAAATTTGAAAAAGAAAGTGAAAATAGACTCCGCCATTCTGTCATGACTTTATTATTTATATATGTATACAAATACGTACTATAAACATATTATATACAAGCTCGACGACTAGACGCATAGCAGTAGAATGGCGTTAGAGAGTTATGATAACATTTCGTTCTTCTTTATACGGAATATCAATATCTACGAAACGATTTTCAAACGACCGTCGTCGAAAAAAGAAATCGAAAGCTTCGAAGAATTCTATTTCGACAATTGCGCAGTCGTTTTTGAATAAAAAAACCTTCGAACATAATAGGAGGCCGTTATATACACATAAACATATATATATATATATATATATATATCAATTAAGCCGCACTTGTTCACAATTTTGAGGTCGTACACCCAATTACAATAAGGTATAATAAGCAAGGGAAAATAATACATCGTGTAGAAACGCTTTTAAAACTTTTTATTCGAGGATCAAACTTTATAAGATGCTATAAAAATTCCATGGAGGCCAAAAAACCTGAATTTTAAATTTTAAACCGTGCATATTTTCACCAAATATATTAATATTATCGAGACTATGTACTCCAAGTTATTTTTAGAGATCAAAATAATAGTATACAATACATTGAATCTATATAAATGTAACAATTCAATTAATAATATATACCTATCTGAATTGGATTTAATTCAGAAGTGTCCGCCATGAAGCCTCTAGATTATTTTTGTGGACCATCTAGATTACTTTCGGCTAAGCATTAGGGACATACAGTTTGAGAAATATTTATACAGCAGTTTGCGTGTACGCGCGTCGGCTTCGATTACATAAATATTACTCTTTTCCACCCCGCTGCGATATCGCGAAAAACCGAAATTGAAGACAGCTGTCTCGGGTGTTCAGTGCACGCATGTAAACGTAAGATTAATAACACATACAATACATATTCGTTCACGCACGGGCGGTAAATAAATGCAGAAATCTCAGTTGACGGATAACACTTTAGAATATGTTAAAAATATACGATAAACGATTGGCACTTAGCTTTTAGGCTCTATAAATCACGACGAGGGTATTTAACACGAGCGATGTGGCGGAGCGAAGAGTGTGTGGTATAAACATCGATGGGCGGAAAAAAAGCTTTTTTATTCGTATTACACATCGCTCACCAACTCAGACCGTAAGATAATATATGCGAGCCGGGGTAAAACGAGAATTGCACGAGGATTTTAGCAAAAAAGACAAAAGAAAAATAATTAATAATAATAATAGTTTTTGCTCAAGAAAATTGATTCTGGATCGAGTGTCGCATACAGCAGCAGCTGAAGTATAATATAAATATATAATATCAAAAAATATCATAAATCATTCGATGTCATCGCGTGCTAAAATATTATATATACGTAGAGTGACGGCAGAATGATATGTATCGCATGAAAAAAATCATTTAATGCTTACGAACAACGTGATGTTATACAAATGCATATAAAATGTAACGTCAAGATAACGGACAGAATTTTTTGATAAAATGTGTTAACAAACGCGTCCGCGCGTTTTTATTAAGATCAATTAAATATCCAATCAGTGGGGTAAAAATAGTAATTAATCAAACACTATATTATTATATTATTCAAATAAATGATTTATATCAATTTGAAGAATCATTAATTAATCAAATTTTAGATAATTTATGATATGGTTAAAGTTTGAAAACGTCTGTAATAGTGAAACATTTACAAAAGCAACTAGTGATTTTCTCAAGAGTTTCGTTTTGTACATAAAACGTACATAAACATACATAACGAAGCATAAAAAAAAAAAAAACTTCTTGATACTTGAAGTAACATTTGATTTTAAAATATAAAAACTAATTTTTAATAAGTTTATTTATGTTTACATTATATAGCAAACATTTTAACATTTATTTTGATACTTAATGACTTAATCCTTACAAAAATTCAATTCGACGAAGCCAGAATGAACAAAATATAATATACACTTCTATTGATATCAAGTCATATCAATAGAAATTTGTTTAAATTTATCGTTGACAAACATTCAAAATAGCTACATTGGAAACAAACACAATAACATTATAAAAAATTTAAAAGTTAATATAAAACATTTTATAAAATCCAATATAAGACAAAGATGTCAAAATTTATATGATAAAATAAAAGAAAAAACAAAACTAAGAATTCTCCACATCAAAATTACCCATGGATTCCTAATAGATAAGGAGGATCCATCGGTATGCGAAACACGTGGTGCGGATCTTCTAAATCACATTTGCTAACAAAGTGCCAATGTTAAGACAGGATCATCTCAACCTCGGCATGTCTGAAAACCTGGATACTTCACATGGACCAAAACAATGTAGTTATAAACTTCTTAAAATACACTAATTTAACTAACCTAAAATAATACTATTATGTAAAGTACATTGTAAATATTTTAATTAATGGCTATTGTTGCTGAAGTTCTTTTAAGATATTATAAATAAAAATGAAAAATATTTGACATTTAAAATTAGTTCTATAAAATGTTGACGTTATTAATTACTTTTTCAAATTCAAACTTAAAAAATAATTTTAAAGGGCTACACAAATAAAAACTTTTAAGAACAAAAAATATATAAAATTTACCCACTTCGTTAGAGACATATATATATAGTGATTATTAATGATAATAATTTAACGCACTAGTGTACGTTAATAGTTAATATTGGAATTTTTTTAAAATTATTTAAGAATAGAAACATATACTACAAGAACCTTGAATTACAAATATTTGCCAATTCAAACAATATTGACTTTATTTCCGAAGTGTTATTATATTACAATGTTATTTTTTTAAAATATGATGAGGTATTAATGATATTTTTATTAATAGATTGATTTTTAAAATTATGGATACGGTCGTTTCGGCGTAGAACTCGTAAAATAGTAACTGTTTTTAATTAACGTAAAATAATAAATGAACAAGACGTTTTACTAGTTTACCACATAAAGACCATACTAATTATGTTGACGACGTTTAATTTGGACAATGAAGACAAATTTATAATGACTATGACTTTTAATAAAATTTCAAACGAGGTATATTATTATTTACTACTCTTCTTATTTTTGTAAGCATAGAAGTACTTAACCGTTTTTCTCGATAATTAGTTTTTAATTAGTCGTAGAGTAAAATAAATAAATTTGTTCGAATAAAAATGCTATTAAGATTTAATACAGTTTTAAATTTGCAAAACCTATATACAACAGCATTATCATTTATATATTGATTTTAGTATTCCTATGTAACACACACATAATATGAGTAATGGCTTTGTTTTTAGATAGTTTCAAAGTTTTAATATGCACACGACAACGACAAATGGGAATATTCTATTATGAAGCGCAGATATAATATGTCATGACCTCACCAAAAGTAATTCGACAGAATTTGTTTGAAAACTTTCGGAGTGTTATTAAGTCTCGAGGACTGTTATTATATGTCTTCATATACAATTTTTATTTGCGTCAACCCCATGGGAATTAGACTGAGTGTAAAGCATACGTCTAAGTCAACGGAGAGAGACATATCCTAACCTAAGGCGTTATGTTTTTAATAAATTAAGTTATTTATGACGACGAGAACATGACGACTAACCCCGTCAAACGCAATAACAACAATATACGCTAAACTGGGAAAACAACGAGATTTAAATTAACGTGACAGTGCAGTACTATATATATCACATCTGCGAGGCAACGAAAATAATTTATTTTTAATTTATAATCAATTTTTGACCGTAGTATTTTTCCCGATCATTGAACACTTTTTTGATCGATGAATTTAAAAATTGAAATTACATTACATACGTGTCGGTTCAGAATTGTACGCGAATTCGCTGTTTTTGTCTTTGTGGTTCAAATCGTGCATGATTACATCAAATTCAAGAGCAGTAGCCGGATTTCCCCTAGACTTAACGTCATAACGACTTCCGTTCGCCCAATTGCCACAAATAGTAGATTAACGTTTTCGAGCCGTTTATATGTAAACACATTCCTGGATACGGAATTACGACGATCCAACCCCGAGCAACTGCAGTAAATATATATATGATGTACGTGACAATATCCGGACTTACAAAGAACCCAAGAGTTGTACGTAGTCGTCTCGGGGGCGTTCAGAAGGAGGCAATTTTACGGAAATCGATAGAACACTGATTGGGGGTTATTTTTTCTACTAAGCACGAAGATTTGATGCCAGGTGTGAAAACGGCTCACATTTCCTGCGGGTAAGAAGCTACATACATATACAACAATATCGAATCTAAGGGAGCAATACAAGGTTTTCTTGATTCCGTTTTTAGATTTTAAACACAAAAAAAATCAAATAATAATATAATAAGATAGATTTGTTTTTAGAGCTCTTATTTTGAATATTTAATAAATAAAACTTATTTGACAACGTAAAAATAAAACTCTACAATAAAATAATAATAACACAATACGTCAATCGCGTTGTGTATGGACATACAAGCGTAATTATATCGTAAATATACATTGAGGAAGGGTAGAACTATAAAATAATATTTACATAAAATTTAATTGAAGGTAAATTGAAGGTACGTTCAAAATTAAAATGGATTAAAATGCTGCGTGGGACTAAAGATCAACATATAGGGGGCCCAGTCCCAAAGCCCCTAATATTCACCTGCCCACTTTGGGGTCGATTACCCTATGAACATGCTTCATTACGTGGGTGTTGTGGCGTACAACCATGGAAGAACATAAGAGAACGAATGCAATGTCCCCAAATGTGTTTATAATTATGATAAGTATAAGATAATGTTATAATATTATTCTGTCTATTAATATGAAATCACCTGTAGTTCTGGCGAACCACCCTCGTCTCTGATCAACAAAAGGTGGCTGTGGCCATCCAATGATATCTCTTTCTTGAACCGACCACCTTCCGGACTTTCTTCCTGCATGTACGAGCCAGTCAGGTACCGGTGCACCAGCGCCGATTTGCCGGATGATAACGAACCGACGATGCCTAGACGTAGGTCCGGTACAGCCCGAGACAAAGTCCATTCTTGGCTGTTTACAAACGAATCTGCAGGAAAATAAAAAAATAATGTTATTATTTTGGTATTGCATTGTTATAGTATATTACAACGACGTATTATATTAATGTGAGCACGGAAACCGTTCGCAATCAATGCAAAACAATTAACATGCTGCGGTTATAATGTACGGAGTATATGAATATCGAATCGACAAAACGTCTTAGGTTCAAATATAGTTATTTCTTCATTCTTTATACTTTTTTTTTAATTTTTACTATAGGACGTTTTCTATTTACACTTTTTGTTTTAAAAACTTAGTGGAGTATAATTGACTTTACAATTGAAATTGATATTCTCTCCGGTCGACTGGAATAATTGCAATAAAAACCATTCAAAGATTTGGGTATAAAAATACAAGTTTACATATTTCAATATTTTTGGATGGCCGACAAATTTATTGATATAAACTTTTAATATGGATTGTTTTATTTAGGTAAACACCAATTATATAAATAAATAATTATATGAACCAAACAAGATTTATACGTATATACAGAGGTTGCAGTGATTGAATTATTTTTAAAAAGTACGTGAATAAATAGCAAAAATGATGAAAATTTAAGCACGCACATAAAATAAACGTCGATATTTTTTTAATAAAACTATATATATAGACGCTCCCTAATAAAAATTAATCTTAGTAATAAGTCTTAGAAAGTGGTTGTTATGAATTGAGAGTATCGAACGAAATCTTTAATCTAATTACATACCGTTGAATCTAATTTTATATAATATATTTTGGAATCCAATCAATCATTCGAAATTTCATTGAAAGCGATGAAGTGCACCTGTCATGTTTTCATAAAACCTAGCAGAATGCATAATAGTTCACTAATAATATTTTTTAAGTGATAAAAACTCAAAACAACCCGCCATTGCCACAGTCACCGTGTTCTGAATGTTCTATTTCAGTGTATTTTATTATAAATTGACCGAAGCACGAAAGTCAGATAAAAAAAAAAAAAAAACGTCGATATGGTAGTAAATAAAATACACAGAGAAAAGCTCAAAGTTTATAATAAAATATTGTGCAACATACATAAAGGTAATTAAAGGTAAAATTTCTTCAAACGAGTTATTTTTTTAGAGTTTTCTTTGCGTTAATTTATTTTTATTTGAAAACGAAACGAGTATTAATAGTTTATCAGAATTGGTAATATTATTAAGAGGGAATACATAACAATGCACTGTTGAAACGATGTTAGCATTATAGTTGTTACGAAGCTATAACTCTAAACAACATGCATAATATTATGTGAGAACATGAATATTAGCCACATTGTATTTGTACATAATTTATGTACACAGAGCTATATGATAAGTATATACCGTGTTATATATGTTATACTACATGAATCGTTTACGGCACTGTGTACATCGATAAAACTATGTAATGTATAAACGACGACAATTTTCGGTGAAATCGTTATGAATAAATTTGTGTGGTGGAAAGGCAAAATGTTCCTAAACACCTGATGGTGTAGCGGTTCTATCGAACACATAGTAATAATAACAATCATTGCTCATGGTCATTAAAATGTATTATAATTTCATTCGCAGTTAACGTTTATCGTATGTATAATATTCTCTCTGGGAGGGTTCAAAACGAGTAAAGAATAATAATAATACATTGAGTATATGCGTTATCGAGAACATTGAACGAATAATAAATATTACATTATTGTACATCTTTAGCGGAAAGGCGATTTGATGGAAATAATCGAATATGATAAAACATCAACATGAACTAACACATTCAGTTATAAGACACCTATATGTATTCATACATTCATATGTTTATGACGAAATTCCATTTTTAATAAAATCAATTTGTATAAAAATGCGTATAGAAATATTTTAGCGCCTCATGTATTGTATTTCAAGGGCGTTCATCGGTTGGCTATTCTATCATCGGACTATTATAATATAGGGTTCAATATATAAAAAAAAAAAAAATCATTTTTATACATATATGGTTTTATTTTACATAAATCGTATAAAACAATAAGTAGTGCATCTTTTGGGGCCAGCCGCAAAATTGTAGTTGATATACACATGAATTTATTTAAGATTTTAGATTATATACAAACTATGAATAAACTTCAGTTATAAAATTAAAATTAAATTTGCATTCAATACACGTATATATGTATATTTGAAAACGTAAACTCGAGAAATATGACAGTTAAAGAGACTATACAAATATTCATCTGAAAGTATCTGAGGCGTCGGAAACAACCATTCTCTGAGTATCCCTTCTTCCCAAATCACGAATGAATCATAACTCAGAAGGCTCTGTTAAATAATTAAAAATATTTTTTAGAATTTTGAAATCGACTTCGCTCAAATCTTCCTTTTCTACGCGATATTTTGCACGCGTGAGAGTATATTCACAAAAGGTGGTGAACCGGAGTACGAGAGTCGCGTGGGCAGAACCGGGGAGTGAGGCGGAGCTGAGTTGAACGCGCGCATTGTATTCAAAAACGATGACGACCGGACGGAGCAGTCTCTTATTATCTCCGTTGTCCAACGCTGCCGCCGATATTTACCCAACTCGCTCGCTTTTATTTTGTGGACCGTGAACCGGTTTTTTTTTCTTTCAAAATCGTTTGTAATATATACAACGGTTACGCGCCAACGCTTTTTATTTACGATTTCGTAGCAGCATTACCACCACAAACCGCACGCGAACGTCGTTGAAACAGCAAAACCCGAGGACGAACTGCCATTTTTTTTCTTTCTTTTTCTCTTTCTCTCTCAGGACGCACGTACGCCTGCAGTGTGCAGGTACACGCTGCCCGTGCATGTGTGTTACTACGGATCGGACCGCAATTGCGGTACAAAACGGCTATACGGTCACAACTTACATTAAGGTACTATACAATTCCACTATTACCGTGTTCCGTGTTTAGTTTGTATATATTTAATAACGAATAGGCCTTAAATAACAATCACTTTTAATTATAGTCATTAATTTATTTTAAGTACCTAACGCTTTTTAGCACAGCCATCAGTAATCACACTCAAATATATGGTGGAATAGTTGAGTATTCTTACGACAGCGTATAGTGTGGTGACGTAGTATTAACCAAGTTTGGCTAGAAAATAAAATCGGCCAATAAGATTGCCCAATTCGGCACAGACCAAATGGCCTATACGAGATACAGCACAGCGATAGTGAATAGTTCCTTCATTGTAGATACACAATTCGTCTATACCGGGTGATCAGTATTTTATGTGCCAGCGGTTTTCTCAAATAGAAATATGCCAATTATTGAAAAAATATACAATGGTGACATTTTATGAAATACCATATTCTACAATTATTTGCGAGATTTTAGAAATTGAATTTTTAAAATCCAAAACAAAAACCTCAAAAACCCAAAAATAAATTCAGATTACTCAGTATACACTAATCTAACTTACCCGTGACGCGTGTGTAGTATGTGTGTGTGTATGTACATGAGTGTATTACAGTAATATATTGTTGACTGTAGTTCCGCAGCAGCACGGTTCTACGCGTATATACCTTCATATGGTGTCCCACGAGTATTAACGGGTGAGTAATTTAAAGTGGCAGTGGAATTTTCACAACTTCCACCTTTATATATATATATACATTTACAAAGTAAATCCTTGAGGGATAACTTGTATAGGTATAAAATATATACATATGTTTGACGATGACGACAATTGCAGTTTGAAAAGCTAAAACGGTCATTTGAAGTACGACCGCGGCGACGGGGTAACAAAATTACAATTTAAAAATAACAATATCGTACGAGTGGACGTATGAAATAATGATTATAATAATAACAATAAAAGAAAAATACTCGAAAACTAGCCTGTATGTATACATATATATTTCGTATATACGCGCGCGCGCGCTTCGAGATCATAATCGACCCAAAATCCAATGAGTGTACTTCCCCCTACTACCACGGGATAGATTTTACGGAAATAAAAACAGGCTCGTGTCCTGGCACCGTCCCTCTACGTGCCACACACACACATACATTTAAATACGTGAGTATACGATAGTTATACATGTAACATTATACAACGGTCGAATGCATATTTACTCAGAATTATATTATTGCGAGATAAAAAAAACGTTACTGTCGTCAACAGCGAAAACAGCTACACCTGGCAAACGCAGAAAATGTCATTATACATTTTGCAGCTTACATGCAATGTTGAGAGTATATTCCACGCGCAAGAACCATATACGCACGTCGACAAATAAAATATTATGCGCTAGTAATACGTGTATTATGGACGCATATGCAAATAGAAATATCAAAAAGAGGGTGAAAAAAAAATCGCTCGAGCGCAAAAGTTTACGCGTGCTATAAATAAAACGTAATGCGTAAATACTCGTAATAATAATATATCAGTGAAATGTCAAAATTCATATTGGCCAAACTGTCAAACACAATACCAACGACGACGATTTGAATACGTCTCGTGAGGAATGTTTAAGGTTCACATAACTATATATGTAGTCGTTTGCGCGCAACCATGCGCTGAAGTTGACACGAATAAATCCCGAAATCGACTTATGTACGCACCAAAACAATAACAAAATTGTACATAATAACACATTGTGCGAAAACGATTTTGTCTACAAGTTTTCCCCGATTCAACAGGGTTTGTTTCTGTGTCGCGGATAGTATACGCGCATGTGTTCAAAGTTGTAGTTGCTCAAGTTTTTGTTTACTCTCTTAGGCAGGGATTCCTAACCGCTATGCTGCGAAATTATTCAGGTGTGTCGTATAATTTTTGTCTTTATGCGTAATAAATATAATAATCATTATAATTTATATTTATGATAGCATTGAATTCGGAATTCCCTTGAAAATAAAAAAATGATAAAATGTCCGGATAAAACAGTTATAATATTATACAGGTATCCGATACTACTCGATACGGCAGTTGCGTTGACTTTTACCACATACTATAATGACTATATGAAAACATATCCTGT